ACTAATGAGGGTGTTAAGTTTATTTTCTTATTAGTAATTATGCAGGCTCTGAAGCCAAGCCCAGTATCTATATATACTTGTATTGCTAAATTAAAAGCAACTGTGGGGCAGAGAACAGCAACATTTCAAGAAGAAACAAATCAAATGTGACATGTTTTGACTGCACTGATATACAATGATCTGAGCTCAGTTGTAAAGGAGAGAAGTTTGGCCCAAAGGAGATGAGGAGGTCCCAGAGCCAAAACACTTCCCAAAGTGAGGCGCGCTCTGTCTGGCCTCTACAGCACTCATTCCCTCTGTGACTTGGCACACAGCTCTTCCATCTCCTTGCCCCACAAATGAGGAAAACCGCCCTCCTACGACTTTAAAGGCACATGTGCTGGTACAAGAAGATTGGGACATACCTGTCTGGCAAACATTTCCTTACTTCTCTATTTGCCTGATTCACTGAGGGAAGCCTAGTACCCTTTATACATTGTTTCTATCAAATCAACTGTCTGACTCAAACCTGACAGGGCAAATTCTATTTAAAATGTAATAAATTATGGATACACACTACTGCTATTATCGGCTACTGCTGAAGAGTGAAATTAGGCCGGAATAAGTGAAGAGACGTTCATTTTTCACATTTCATTTCTAAATGGTTTGCCTTTTTAAGAACAAATGGGTATATATTACTATTATTGTAATTTTAGAAAATGAAATAAAGCTTCTTTTAAAAAAATCTAGTTAAACTGCTACTAAATAAAAGTGGCAGGATAGTGAAATAGAAACCTGCATTCAAATACCTTGAATGATGAGATTTAGATCTAGGCCATGCTCTGCCACTGACCTGAGACACGTCATTTAACCCCCTGGAAGCCTGTATTTACTCCTTTTAATATGGGGGTTGGATTAGATGATCTGATCTCGAGGTCACTTTCAGTTGTATAAATTTATAAATATAAAACTTTAAGGAGAAAATATGAAAATTGAGTTTCAATTGATGACATTTTTTAAAATTCTCACCTGGGGATATGTTTTAGAGAGAGGAAGGGAGGGGGAGAGAGAGTGGGAAGGGGAGAGAGAGAGAAAGAGAGAGAGAGAGAGAAACATCAACGTGAAAGAGAAACATTGATCAGTTGCCTCCCATACACATCCCAAATGGGGATTGAACCTGAAACCTAGGTATGTGCCCTGACCAGGAATCGAACCCACAACCTTTTGGTGCGCAGGATGGTGCTCCAACCAACTGAACCACCCAGCCAGGGCTGAATGACATTCTTAAAAAAAATTACCAAAACCATAAATTATATCACAGAAAGCTGGGGCTTAAGTAGTAGGCACTCAATAAATTAATTTTGTTTCATTCATTTTATGTTGTCGTTATTTTTTAGAGAATAAAGCAAATTCAATCTTGTTAAATAACAAGTTACTTAACAACACATTTTTTATATGTATATATAAACACTTGCATTTAGGGATAATAATGTAAACCCCAGAATCATAAAATCTTAGAATTGGAAAGAACTTAATATCATCCAATATAACCTCTCTGCTAATGAGGAATCCGGATACATGTTCTCCTTAGTTACTGTGTTGATGATCACATTTCCACAGCAGCTCTTGTGGCTAAGAGAGCTCATCCTTGTCTTCTGAGTGAGCTGAAAGGGATCCCCTCCTTCTCCTTCTAAATCTGTCCTTGGGGGCAACAGTCCTCTTTGTCACAGGGCAAAAAAGTGACCTGATCCTGGCAAACTTTCTCCCATCCTGTCTACATATTGTCATTTCATCCAATCACCCCTTACAAGTTTCCAGAAACAGTATGTCCATATCCCTCTTAAACCCCAGCTTGGAACTGGACCCAAACCTGAAGTGTGGTCTGACAGGACAGAGCCTATGGGACCACCCCCAACTTGGTTCTGGTACCATACTGCTACAGCCTAAGGTAAATTAGCATCTCTCTCTTACACCACACACACATATCCTCTGTTGGTTCATAGTAAGCGTATAAATTCCCAAGATCTTCTTAGCATGAACTACTGACAGGCCAAGGCCCTCCCATGTTTTAAAATTCTAAATGCTTAGCTTCACATTTATTTTTGTTAACTTTCTTCGTGATGGTTTCAGCCCATCTTGTTCCAACCTGTCGAAATCACTCTGAATGTTGATACTGACATCCATCACATTAGCAATCCCTCCCAGCTTTCTGTCATCTGCAAATGTGATCAGCATGCCTTCTCTGCCTTCATCCAAGTTTTTCATGAAAACTCACTGTATTTTTTGAAAAAGTCTTTTAATTTATTGATTTGGGTCCAATTTTTGATAATTTTGTAAAGCTATCTAAAAGCAGGAGAATCCAAGCTATGAGGTTTAACCTGATTCCAAAACAATGCAATTAAAATAAATACACTTTACAAAATTGAGCCAAGCCCCAAGGTAATACCAGTGTGACCTGGACTCTGGTATGGTCAATCTGCTATTTTGGACAAAGCTAACTATTAAATTGGATAAATGTTTGTTGATGAGGATGATGACTCTAGTCTAACACGCTGAATGGTGCAGAGACAAGCAAACAAGCTGGATTGATTTTTCAGTGTGGAGACAGTTCCCAGCTGGGACAACTCAGAGTGCTGGGGAGGGTTTGCCACTGAATAACTGAATAGTCCACATAGACCAATAATCGGATAATTTGGGGCCAAAAAATAACTTGGAGCCTCAGTGATTTCACCAAAATCACCAAAAGTGATTTCAAATATCCTGAAATAATGACAGATTGTGCTATGTGGCCTTGGTGTGGGCAGTATGGAAAAGCTTCACAAATGCAGAAAAATTGCATGACAAAAGGCCAAAGTTCCTTTAGGGAGGCGGTCTTTATTTCCCAATGCTTTTCTAGCACCTTCTCCCACTGAAACCAGAAATGCAGAAAAGCTTGGTATTAGGAGCACAGATTTTGGGTCCAAGACACTTGGCTTCTAATTCTATCTCTGATACGTATTAGCTTTGTGACCTTGGGCAAGTCAGTCCTTTGGCCTTTCACAGTTTTAATCTCCTCATCTGTGAAACAGAGATCAAAACACTTACCTTAATGGTGTTGCTACATAGCACCTGGCATTCACACTCATTAACAAATGGGAGGAAGGGCATTGTGCTTTGATGAGTATCATTTTATTTAATCTTCACAAATCCCAGGAAGTAGATATTATAACTATTACTACATCACACAGATGAGGAAATGGAGTCATTAATAGGTTTAAGCAGTTGCTCAAGGCCATCCAGCTACTAAATGATGGTGTTGGAATTTTTTAAAAATTTTGTTGTAGTTGTTGTTAATCCTCACCCAAGGATATTTTTCCATTGATTTTTTAAGAGAGAGTGTAAAGGAGGGAGGGAGGGAGAGAGGGAGACACATTGATTGGTTGCCTCCCTGACCAGGACCAGGGATCAAACCTGCAACCCAGGTATGTGCTCTTGACTGGAAATCAAACCTGAGACCCTTGGGTCTTTGGGATGATGCTCTAACCGCTGAGCCAAACCAGCCAGGACTGGTGTTGGAATCTTAATCTAGGGGCATGCATGGTTCCAAAGCCTAAATCCTTAACCACTGCATTATTATGCTAGACTATGATTTGAGACTTGACTTTAGTCAAGAGATGCTACTTGTAATCAGAATAAGAGTTCTCAACCTTTGGTGCTAAAGATCTGCCATGCTTCTCTTATGAAGTCTTGTGATCAGGTGGAGAGAGGAGGCTTCACAGCCATAATGAAGGTAGGGATGAGGGAAGGAGCATCAAAGTGGGTGTATCAATCACAACATTGTAATCTAAAAGGAGGACACATAACAGATACACTCATACCCTTTTCCAGCTGTTAAACCAGAAGTCTGAAATACTGATTAGACCTGGGGAGGCAAATCTGGTAGTAGCTGCCAAGCCAGACCAACCAACTGGGGATCCCTGGATTGGCATCTCTCTGATCTGTGTGCAAACTGTGTTTCTAAGTTTTCTTGTCTTAGAGTGAAGGTAATTATCCCTACAGCTCATGGTTCTTTAATGGTTAACTGAGACTATGTACCACAATGTCTAGCATGTAGAAATTGCCCAATTAATTGTGACCTTTTTTTCTTTCTTTCCCTCTTTGGCGAGACCTTGTCTTACTAGAAGTTTGCTTTTCCAAGTCTTTTTAAAAACTGCTGTAGAGTAACGTTTATACATTTGCTCAGAAAATCCTTTCTCGTAGTTCTCTTTGTTATTCAAATTCCTGGCAATTTGCAGAATTCAAACTGATAATATTTTACTATATCCCATATGAAATAAAAATGTGGATACATTTTGGTTGACTTAAATAACAACACTGATAATCATTTATGGCTTTCAAATGTTTTCTCAACCATTTTTCCTGCAGGACTGGTGATCAAAACATCCTCCGGAGGTTAAATATTATAATCATCTCCACTGTCGTGATGAGAGAGCCAAGAGTGGGAGCCAGGTGACACAGGTGGGAAGTAGCAGAGGTGGTATTCTATCCCAGTCCTCCTGATGTCAAGGCCAGAGCTTGCTGTTCTCCATCAATGGTCTAATCCCTCTGAATAAGCAGCAGGTCAATCAATGCCAATGCAATTGGGGAAACTGCTTAAGGTTAACTTAAAACTCACCCAGATGGTTTGATCACAATATGAAAAAACCAGTAGTCATTTTGTCTAAACCATGTAAGAAATCTATAAATTGTAATTCACCTGTGCAGATTTTCATTGGCACACCCGCCAGGAATCCTGTGACAATGGGTGTGACAGGCGCAGCACTGTCAGGGCCATTTGTTAAGGCATTCAGAGACCCAATAAAGCAACATTATTTGGTGCAATGGATGCACTGGAATTACCAAATGAAGTGAGAACTATAGAAAAGGTATGAAAACCGTTTACCACAGTGGCAGGCACAAAGTCATTCAATCAACTCTTATTACTAGTATCATGAGTAAAGATCCTGATCATTCATTTGAAAGCAGGACATCATAAAACTTACTCTGGAATAATCAAGATCTCTAGGCGTTGAGTCTGTTAAAGCTCGGACAAGGGCATTCATCATACAGATTGGAGGAGAAGGTGGAGAGGGCTGAGAAGGTTCCTGCTGTAATGGGCTCTTTGGTTTTGAAGGTAGCCGACCTCTCCTCCCCTTCAGACTATCTGTACGGACAACTAATGCCAAGAGAAAAAGAGAAAAAGAAAGTCTCCAAAGATGTTCATGAATAGCCATAAACCACAAAAAAGAATCAAAATACTTTACAGTTGAGCAATCTTTAATGAGACCAACCATTTAAAAGTGGCCATAAGTTTGGAATAATATTCACACAATTATTTACTACTGTGAGTTGAAACAAGCAGCATAAAAGCCACCCCCTACTCACATTTGGTAATGAATTAGCCCTAAAATCTCCTTCTTAAATAGAACAAAGATGTATGTACACAAGCTCTCTATTGATTTTGAGAAATTAGAATAAGTAGTCCTCAGCTATTTTTAAATGTAAACATACACTGTAAAAACAAAATGTTGGAAGGAAAGGAAAACGAGGAAAATTCACCTTCCCAATGTAAATATTAACATTTTTTCAGTGACATCTGAGAATATGTATAAGCAAGTTGGATAAAAAGCATTATACTCATACCTTCTTTAACCATTCCGACACTGAGACATTTCTGGAATCGGCAGTACTGACATCGGTTTCGACGTCTCTTGTCTACAGGGCAATTTTTATTTGCCAGGCAAACATATTTTGCATTTTTCTGCACCGTTCTCTGAGAAAATACAATACAGAGATAGTCAACTAATAGTTTCTGGAAAGAGGTAGAACCTGACAAGATGTATTTTAATTACAATGTGAAAAGCGACAGTGCAATTCGTATAATTAGATAAATTTAATTTCCTAACACGCTAGCCTGCAGGAAAAACAATTTTATTAGTGTTAGCTGCTGACAATGAAAATCATCTCGGATTGTTCTGAAGCAAGTCTCAGGAGACATCCAAGTCTGAATGATAAAATCATATCTGAAATTACCAGGTCAACATATCATACCTTGGAGGATTAGATTATCTCCACTTTTAATATCCCTTTGGGAACAATTTTCTACTTGTTCCACTCCCCTGATTATTGCTGACCTTATTAAAATAAAATCAAAATTATCTGGGATGTACTTTGTTGGCAATTACTTTTGTAAGTCAAATATCACAGTAACTGGCTTTGTTCCCCAATAGAGATGAAATCATAAAAAGCAAAAATCAGGATTTGTCTAGATAAAACATATAGAAAACAATGTTTTCATACAAAAAAGTCTCTTAATCACCTTTGTAGTTTATTTTATCTTTAAAAGGGTAAATGCCCATTTTTTATATTTAAAATCAAAATCTTAAAATTGGACACTAAAAACCACTATCACATCCAAGAAAGAAAAACAAAAAAACAAAAAAAAAAAAACCCACTAAAAACAAAACCAAAAATAAATGAGAGAAAGAAAGGCATACGAGAGCCATATATTTTCAATGAAAATTCCCATTCAAAGGATAGTTCATAAATGACTATTGACATAGACACCAAAATAGCCATATTGTAAAATCATGTTGCATTCTTCAGAATCACATATAATTTTTAAATGACACATGGATAAATAATTGAGCATAATTTTATGCTCCAAATATAAGGGAGGCTTGATTTTTTAAAAATTAAAAATATTTGTGTAAATGGATATGTGTATTTACCACTTAGGGTAAAATCATTCAGAAATTACCTGAATCTATACAATTCCAAATAGAGCAGAAAGTTGGAATTTATTTGATAAGTCTAAAAAAATAGAAGAAACCCAGGTACTTTGGGGTTGGTGATCTTTTTCTTGCCAAAATTCTAGACTTATTTTCAATGTTTATTTTCAGCAATCCTTAGTCCCCATTTATCAGTTTTCACCCTCTCACCTTTTAATTTCACTTTAGGAAATCATTTTGCTCATATAAGACTTAAAAAGTCTAGCCCTGGCCAGTTTGGCTCAGCGGTTAGAGCGTCGGCCTGCGGTCTGGAGAGACCCGGGTTCGGTTCCCGCTAAGGGCACGTACTTCGGTTGCAGTTTGTCCCCGGCCCTGGTTGGTCGTGCGGGTGGCAGCCACTCGATGTGTCCGATGTGTCCCTTTCACATCGATGTTTCTCTCTCTCTCTCCCTTCCTCTCTCTCCCTCCCATTCTATCTGTACAAAAAATGGAAAAATATCCTCGGGTGAGGATAAAAAAACAAAACAAAACAAGACTTAAAGAGTCTAACAAAGCCAGATACATTTCCCCTGAGTTAGTAGGTGATTTTAGTTTAAAATGTAAAATTCCAAAACACAAACATGTTTCCGAGTTTCCAGCATTTAAATTCTCAGCAGTCTTGAAGGGTAGGAAACTTGCTTCCTGAAGGAAGCACTCTTTCATCGAACATGTAGTAATTTCTAAAACTCTATTTCTTGCCATCGTCCTCAAGGCTATATGCCAATTTGAGTGCTGATGGCATTTTGCTTCAGGTATAAATTTCCCCAATAACCTGAAACCTTTCCCACAGTCGTGTGTGCCTGCACAGTTTAAGGACAGGGAGAGATCGTTACAGTTCAATCACTGAATTCCATCATTAACTGCATTTCATGTCACATTTTTAAAGAATTCAATTTAATGGTAGAAAGCCACTGGGTAAAACCTGCTCCCATTCCCTTAATTAACAGATCTGTAGGGTGGTTCTCTCCCATCCTACCCCCCGCCCTTTCAAATATAGATTTGTTTTCAAGGGATTGCTGCAGAAAAGGAACGCTGTTGGGGAACACTTAATTGACATTTCTAGACTAGGAATGTATTTCCACTCCTGTATTTTGGTCAACTCTTAATTATTCAGGGATGGTTATATTTGAAGTTACTCGCACTTCTCTTAATTGCCCCCCCCCCCTTTGGCTGCCTGTTTCACTGCCCTTCAGCATTTCCACTGAAATAATGTAAAAATCAATCTGTGAAAGGAATGCAGTTCCTTGAAAGTAACCCTGGTAGCTTGAGTACTTAAGATTGAAAAAATGGCTAACCTGAGGGGTTTACATTTAAAATATCATAATCCTGTACATACCTTCTATATGGCATTAACATTGCAAAGTCTTTCCATAAGCATTTTCTTATTTTTCTCCAGAATTTAATTAATCACATGATTTCTATCCCCAGATCAAAAATAACTGGTATGTATACCAATCCACAAATGTGAATTTTTACAGATATTTTGTAGTTTTTGCTTATAATGAACTATTGTTTTATGGCCCTTTAAAGATTATAAAGTGCTTTCATAATTGTTTTATCTCATTTCATTCTCACAGCCCTTCTCTGAGTTATGTTCACCTGATAGGGAAACTGAGGCCTAGAAAGAAGTGTCATGCCCAATGTCATACAATTGGTAGGTGACAGATCAAGGTTTCCTATTCTCCAAGTCCAGCCTGCTCCCAGATACATCCTGTTTGCCTCTCAAATCCTAGTTACCCAATCAGCATCCAGCTTCCCCTTTCCCTCCATCCTGCCCAGCACTATAGGCTAGAGACTGATTATTGTGGGAGAACACTTGTGGGTTTGCAAATGCCTAAGATAATGGCCAGGGGAGTGGGGAATGGGGAAATGGGGACAGCATTAGGTGTCTGAAGTCTAGGAGTCAATAGCAAAAGCAGAGCAGCAAGAGGACAAGGCCTTTCCCCTGAATGGTTATAGAGCACCTAAGGCGAGTCAGGAGAAACCAGCTGGAACTGTCCCACGTGCTGATAAATCACTGTTTACAGGTTACACAAAGCTTCACCTCTCTAGGCTTCAGCTCCCACATGACTAAAAAGTGGGGGAGGTTGAAGACCCTTTGTAAAATTCTCCCATTGTAAAATTCTCCTTTGGGTCTATGAGATCAGGAAGAACTTCCACACCTCGCACTGGGTGTGGCACAGAGGTAAGTGGATTGGTGAGACCCCAGCTTCTATCCTTTATGAAGGGAGCTGCCCCAAACTGCATCTAGTCAGTTGCTATTCCGCAGCTGCAGAGGTGTGAAGACCATGTGCACTTTGGGGTCATGCAAACATGAGCTGGCATCCTGTCTCCCTCTTACTCTCTGAGTGTGTGTCCTGAGCAGTTGAATAACTTCTCCAACTCTCCATTTCCTCATCTATGAAACAAGAATAATTAAGATCTACCTTCAAGACACTTTAGTGGTAACAATAGCTAGTCAGAATGCAATCTCAGGTCTGTCCGCTTCAACAGTCCTAACTCTTACCATGAGACTTAAATGAGATACAAATGTCCTTGGCCTGGCACACAGACTCTATCCCCTCAGGATGGACAGATGAGTTTTTGCACTTTTGAGATCACAGATCCCTTTGAGAATCTGCTGAAAGCTCCCCCCAGAAAAATGATTATAAGATAATTCCAAGTCAGGAAGTTCACAGCCCCTCAAGTCCATCTGTGACCACCTCCTGTAGTGGACTTCAAGTTAAGCCACCCTGAGAAAATGGATGCGAAGGTGCTAGGCTACAGGAACGCAAAGTTTAACAATTTCACCTCTCAAATCGGGAAAGACCCACTTAGATGCTCTCTTGAGCGAGTGGCTGAGAAGGCTGGCTGCGGAGGGAGGGGGCGCCAGAAGGAGGTGTGCGCTCACCTTGAAGAAGCCCTTGCAGCCCTCGCAGGTGCGAACGCCATAGTGCTGGCAGGCAGCGTTGTCCCCGCACACGGCGCAGGTGCCCTCGCCAGATGAAGAGCTCCGGATCGGCGGCGACGGAAGGCTGGGGCTCTCGCCCAGCAGGCTGGACGCAGTTGGGGAGGCAGTGAGGCCGAGCGGCGAGAAGGCCAGCGCGGCCCCGCTCTTGGACAGCTGCAGCCCGTATGGGTGGCCCTCGAGCGCCGCGGCCTGACTGCCCGCGGCGACGGCTCCCAGAGACAGGCTGAGCGCGGCGGCGGCCGTCGGGTCATAGTTCAGGTGGTGGCCGCCCGCCGGGCTGGGCGCGGGCGGGTGCGGCGGCGAGGGCTTGAAATGGAAGTGCGGGAAGCGCGCTCCGGGCACCGTGGGCACCGCCTTCATCGGCGGGTCGAGCAGCGGGCCAGGTGCGATGCAGCTCTGCGCCGAGGACAGCGTGTCGTCCCACAGCGACCCCGCCTGCGGGGGAAAGCCCGGCGTGGTAGGGGTGGACGGCGGGGACTGCTTGAAGTACATGGAAGTGCTGGGCAGCACCTCGTCCTCCGGTCCGGAGGGGGGCGGAATGGATGGCTGCTGCTGTGGCTGTTGCTGGTGATGATGGTGGTGGTGGTGATGGTGGTGGTGGGGGTGATGGTGGTAGCCGTGCGCATGGCTCTCCTCCACCTTAATCAAGGGTCGCGGCCCAGGGGGTTGCATTTGGTACTGGCAGGAGGACTTGAAATCATAGTTGCTGGAGTAGCCCTCCACAAAGGTACTGAAACTGGGCAGGGATGTGGTGGCCCTGGCCGTGATCTCCGTGCTGCCAAGGTCCATGGTCAGCTTGGCGTAGTCGGGATTCATGATCTCCGCCGTGTACTCTGAACTGTAGGTCTGCGCTGCATAACTGGAACCTGGAGGTGAAGGACTATACTGGGCTTGCACGCAGGGCATATCTGCAGGGACAGGGAAAAGGGTCTCTCAGCACTCCTTCCTAGCTAATAGGTAGCACTGACTTCATTGCTCTTTAATCTAAGTCTAGGAAATAGAGAGGAAGTAACATCCTTTCCTCCTAGCAGCACAGATCTAAAACCGATTGCTTCCTTACTTCCGTTCTTCATTGGGAGGAAAGCTGAATCCCTGACAGACTGTCAAAGTGGCCACAAAATGCCAAAGCCCGGTCTCTTGGGGACCTCTGTGCCCACCTTTCTTCCTTTGTCCTGTCCTCCACCAGATCTGGAAAATTTTATCTCTTCTCTCATAGGCCCAGTGTTGTTTTTAAAAGTGTTTTATAAATTAATTGAAGTGACTTCAGCCACTAGTTGGGAGGACAAAAAGAAAGCCAGTGAATGCTCTTTTGGTTTCTTTTTTGGGGAAGAGATCACTGGTCCCCAAGTCACACACGTATTGATTTATAAACCTGAGTTAGTAAAAAAAAAAGGTGTCCTACGTGGGACTTATTGGCCAAGAGAAACAGTGCCATTCTAACATGTTATAAGTACCAACTAAAGCTCCCCACACATATTGTGGTCGCTTTCTGCCACCCCCTTCCCACTCCTCCAGACAGGGCTAGCAGCCTGCACAGACTGGACCCCTGCTGATGACTTCAGCCAGCTAGGTGGTAGGATGGAAATGTAGGCCCAGGAAATGGACCTGGAGGAGTTTGCACCATCTGCAAAGAAGAAGATCAGCAGCTGCAACAAAACACCCACCAAACCTGCTCTCTGCCATATATATATTTACTCTTCCACAATTCTGACTAATAAAATATATCAGTGGCTGTTTTATGACAACAATTTACAGCTATCATAATAGGTGAATTAGTTTACATATTTTCTTATGACAGAAGAATTTATACCCCTAAAAAAAGAAAAGCTGTTTCTTAATAGGTTTAGTTTCTCTGCCAGTTTGACTATTTTGAGCCCTAAAAACGACTGGTATCCAGGGTGCTTACTATTGTTCAGAGAGGTTGAACTGGATGAGAAGGTCCTGAGAATTATTGGATCTAGTGATTGACTTAGGTCTAATTATTTCCCTTTCTTTATGGCTAAATATAAATGATAAAATGGGCAATTTCTGGTGATTGGTTTTTCTGAACCAAAGGGGTCTATAGTGTAAAAGGTGTGACTAATAGAAAAGTGAGTACTTCACATTTCCTTTGACATCTTTCTCTTACCCACATTTCCAAATCTGATTGAGTCATGGGTGTAAGGGATGAAATCTTGACTTGAAAAAAGGTGATGAGGGCCTGTTGGAAGAAGCAGTGGTGAGGAGAGGCCAGTTCAAGCCTTTATTTTTCAAGCAGGGCCTTAAAAACACTCACTAGTTTGAAGCTAAAGGATTACTGATCCTGCTGTTCAGTTGTTGGGGTAAAATGAATGACTAGTTATTTAAAAGAAAGAACAATGTCTGATGTTTCATCTATTCTTCTTCTCCCTTCAGATCTCTAAGATTTCTCTGTTAGTCTTTTCTGTCATTCTTTCTTGCCAATCCCTACCTATTGCTCTGTGTCTTTCTGTGGTTTCCATCTAGACAGTGAGATTGCCAGACAGAGTTCTATTTATTTGCATCTTTGATGCCTACACAGGCCTATCACCCGGTATCCCTTTGACAAATGCATAAAGAGGTGTTACAAGCCAAACCTGCAATCCTTGTTTTTACCAACTCAAATGTACTCCTTGGTTTTCAGGTCAAATGCTTTTTCTCTTCCCTCTGAGCTTCAATAATCCACAACTCTGCACCCAAGTGATTTGGGTTTTATACTAACAAATATGCTCTGTATTTCTCTAAGTGACCCCATAACTCTTAAATGCGTAACTGCATATAAAGGGAGAGCAAAAATGAAGACATTAGAATGTATTAAAATATTCTAATCTATGGTATATTTGCGTTTTTCTTAGGAAAAATATTTCTGAGAAATGCAATGCGTAATTTAATCTGGCTGTTCCACTCGGTAGCAACAGGGTGTGGTATCCAGAGGAGCTTCCTGCAAGGAAGCCACCTGTGCTGTGAAACGCGAAGCCAGCAGTCACAGTCTTCGCGCTGGGCACGTGGACCACTTTGCCCACTGGTTGTGTGTCTCCCCCACCCACCTCTCGCAGCTGGGTTGGAATAAGGGGTCGTGACTTCAGACCTACCTGGAGGGTATCTTGCGCGCTGAATGGTGGGGCTGTGGGTCTCTCCAGCGGAGGCTGAGAGTGAACAAGGAGGAGACCTACGACTAGGCGAAGCGACGGCGGTACTGCCCTGCTCCGCGGAGGGTCCAGTTTCAGGGCCGGGGTTGGCCGGTCTGCGCTCTTCCACAGTGGGCTCTGTGGGCACCCAGAGAGAAAACAAAGGTCACAGTAAGTCCAGGCTGTGTTACTAAGGCCTGGGCTGGGCGTATTGGAAGTTGGTGGGGGCCTCTAGAAATGCTACGTTAATTAAAAAACAAGCAAAAAAATCCATAAGGTGACTGGAGTCCTGGAACAAGACGCATCACACAGCCTTGGGGTGGGTAGCCGACGAATGGTTGTCCGTACCAGCCGCGTTCACCGTCGTTTTGTGGCACCCGAACTGAGGCTAAAAAAAGCAAAGCCTGACGTCGCCCAGAAATCGATCCCTCTGCCCCCACAGTTGGTTCTGAGCTCACAGAGTTAGGTAAACCGAAGAAAGGAAAACACTTGAGGAAAGAATTTCACCCAAATTCGGGGGCGGGGTGGGGGTCAGTGAATGTGCACGAGCGGAAAATAGTCATTTTCCAATTCCACCCGCCTCTACACCTCAAATACAAATTTACACGTTGCATAGGAAATGCACAAGGTCCGGAACGAATGCATGAATGCCCCGAGGAATTAAGAAAGTCTGAGCTTTTCATTCTAAATGCTAATGGAGCTTCGCGTCTATTAGCCGCGAGTTTCGGGGGCCAGGGGTCAAGCAAACAAAAGGGCACAGTGGAAATAGGCCCGCGCCGGAAGCAAGGCGACAGGGCGGATGGCATTCGCAGCTGATGTGGAGGTCGGAGAGAGGTCCCCTGCACCCAGCGGGCGGTATCCTCGAGGGTGGGCGACTTCCACGCTTGGGGTCTTCGGACGGCAGGGAGGGGGCACATTCCAGAGGGCGCCAGCGCGGCTCCGGGGCAAACGTCTCTGCGCATTGCCTCTGTGAAACTTTGTAGCTGAATGCGCAGCTCCGCTGGCCTCCAGGGATTCCACAGCCGCAAACTCCAGCCTATAGCGCCCTCTTGGTCCGGACCCACTCACAGCTCCAGGGTAGAGAACGTGGAGCCAAAATATACAAAACCCTAAAATCTTCGCGGGTGCGCGGGCTGCCAGGGTAGTGTAAGTTTCGTCTCCTGCAGCCCCTGCGCCCGTGGCTTCCCTGAAGCAAGGGAGAGGTACTCGGAGTCTTCAGGTCCGGGACACCCTCGAAGGGCAGGAAATGGGGGATTCCCTCGACACCCGCCGTCCCAGCCCCAGCTGATGCTACGGAAAGCTTGAGTGAGCTCTAGCGCAGGCACTGATGGATCTTCCCACGGCGGTAGCTTGCGCATCCAGACCTCCACTCCACCCCCCATCTTCAGTGGGGGTCATCAGCAACCTCCTACCATCTTCTGCAGTAGGTGTTCACATTCCCACCCTTCCCTGCGGCCTTTCAAGCAGAACCTTTCTCCGAGGACCGGCCTCTGACTCAGTGGGCGAGGGTCGGGTCTCTTCAAGGAAGGGGCTCTCCTCGAGCACCAGCGTTCGCAGGAAAGAACCACACCATGTTCCCTACAGCTGAGCTTAGAGCCCTCTGGTACTCCCCTTCTACCCCCCACCCCCACCCCCAGAAAACGTCCGGTTACCTAGGCAAAGCCTCTGCGCCTGGAAACACGTTCGGTGGCTCCTGCTCGCGGCCGCTGGGCCCTGGAGCACGGAACCTCGGGGTTGTAAATTAGGAGAAATAACTACCTCTGTCAAAGCCCCTTTCTTTCTCGTGGGCAGACGAAAGGAACACCCCCGTGTTCCCCTCCCGGTGGTGAAGCGTGTGGAGGAAACCGTGAAACGCACCATTGTGACCCGGGCTCCTCCGCGGAGTTTCCAACCCTGGGGTGCGGGGGCGGAGGTTGGGCGGGGGCAGGAGGAGTGGAGGAGACGGACAGAAAGGGAAAGACAGAGATTCTCAGAAAGACCGAGGGAGAGGAGACAAACCGCGGGGAGAAATCCTGCGGGCGCAAGGTCCCAGGGAAGGGAGTGGGTGGGTTCGGGGGGAGGGAGCGGGTGTTGAGGCTGCTGTGGCCTGAGGAGTCTGATACTCACATTGGAGCATCTTGTTCACCTAAGATTACTCGAATAAACTAACTTCATTCATTGTGCCCAGAAGCCGCGTTGGGCAGCTTTCTCTTTATCCAACTTAATTCTAGAAAAAATTTATTCGTCGTGGGAAAAGAAGATTCAAGATTGAATTTGCGATGAAATAACTAAACAGAAGCCCTATACCTCTCTCTTGGCACCCCGAGGCTCTGGGATAACAAACAGCCCGGGATTTCTGATTACCAAACTCCCTGAAGCTAGCGCTTTCCTTTGGAGTATCTGGAGGCATAAATAAAAGGCAATCTTCAAGACCGTTCTTTGGAATCAAGGGACAAGTGCTTAAACCTCACGACTTCCCCAAGCTTCCAACAGGTTCTAGAGGTGCCTTTGGAAGTCCAGTCTCCGCAGGCGGCGTTGGCACGACTGCTTTCTTCTCAACACCGAGAACTTTCATTTCTATTAAGAGTAAAACACTTGGAGCAACTTCTCCAAAAGCGCGAGATCTGTCAGTTCAAAGTAAAACATGCCTTTCCCATACTGAACCAAGCTCGGAGGAGAGGGACACCGTCCCCATGCGTGTAGGAGCGCGGGAGTCCTACACGATTACCTCGGAAGGGAAAAGTGTAAATGGGCAAGTCGGCGACCCGGGCAGACGTGCCGAGTAGAGCACCAGGCTCATTTTAATACAACAAGCCACATTCCTACAATTATGCCCTCTTTCCTGAGATCCTCCGAGCGCCTTTGCAAACTCTGGCCGCTACTGCCCAGGCCCTTTTCCTCCCAAACTACCCTCAGTCAACCAGCTCGGAGTCACTGTTAGGTGTATTAACTTGGACCCACCGGAACCCGTGTTTTAAATCCTAGTTAAGGGCAGGAAAATTACTGCCGTTCATCACCGGAGCTGCAACTCCCTGCTGCTGCTGCCGCCGCCGCCGAGAGCATCATTACCATGACAACTAGAGCCGAAATACCCTGAATTACATCGCTGGAGCTGCTACTGCACAAATCCCGGTCCTCCTCTTTGTTAGAGGTTTTCGCCCCTTCGGGTGGGAGGAGGAATCCCACGAGCTCCAGAGATCCCCGCGGATCCGCTACAGGGGAAAAGTTTCAGATCAGAACCCTCCCGCCGTTCTGCGAGCAAAGCCGCAGCGAGAAGGTGAGGGGGGAAAACCCCACACTCAAAGTTGTCAATTTCGGGAGCGGAGCTTCCCAGCGTGCCAACTTTTTAGCAAGTCCCTCAATTAACTGGGCGAATCTCAAATACGTACTTGAGTGCTGTGGCGGTTCCGTCTTTAGAGCGAGTTTCTAGAGAGCTGTCCCGAAATCTGCACTGGGGGGGAGTCACAGCTGCTGTCCCGGAAGAGCTGCGGTATACAAGTCCAGTGGCTCCCAGAGGCGGTGAGCGGCTGACAGGGGATGCTGCGATCCCGACTCATGGGAGGGCACCACCGAGGATTCCGCTGGCGTCCTGGCTCCGGCCGCGACCAGGGGGAAGGATGCCGCCGGTTGTTCCCACCTCCACGGCCACCGCTGTCAGCGTAGCAAAGTGAGCCCGGGAGGGGCGTCCGGCAACCGCGCGGCGCTGCACCCGTGAGGGTGCAGGGCGAGAGGGGTGTGAGCGCGCGGGAGAGAGTGGAGTGTGTGTGCGGAGCGTGTGTGCGCGCGTGTCTGTGTGTGCGAGTGAGGGAGCGGGTGTGAGCTTGTCTGTGTGTGGAGAGCGGAGGAGGAGCAGGAGCTGGAGGGGTGGGGGGCGGGAGGCAGGAGACTCCGCTCTCCCGGCTGCGCGTTCGCTCGCTTTCTCGGCACGTCATTTATGCCACAGGAGCCCTAGCGGCCTCTCCATAGAGTGCCTGGAATGCGAGACGTCAATGTGACGCCATGGGACGCTACGTCACCCTCCTCCTCCCTCCCCTGGCCTAGCCGGTTCCGCGTGTGCGAGGGAGGGTGTGTGAGTGTGCATGTGCGCGCGCGCGCGTGCGCGTATTACCCGGCCATTCGCCGGGCGGTACAATGGAAACTACGCGGAGCAGCCAGCCCCAGCCCGGAGGCCTTTCCGACCCGCGCTGGCAACCTGTTTGCAGTGGCGCTGTTCGCCCGGGCACGAGTCTGCGAGACAGAGCAGCGGCCCGCCCGCGGGTCAGGCGGGACCGCCCAGCTGTCAGGCTCGGGTGGAGTAGAGTTGGAGGAGAGCTGCTGGCGCGCCTCTGAGGCTGCCCCGAGGCACGGAGCCAGGGCGAGGGGGTAAGGGAGAGGACAGCTCTTCCGAAAGGGACGGCTCCGCCAGCCAGCTTCTCCGAGTGACCTGGCAGCGGGTGCAGAAGGAGTCAGGCATCAGACCAAAGACTCCCTGAGGGGCAGCTGCGTTTTCCACCAGCAACAGTTCTAGAACTGTTTACGTCTGTTCGACCCTCTGCGCCTAGGCAAATCTCTGTCCTCCCATCAATTTGCTGGGATGCAGACGGCTCTGGGAAGATAAGGTTTTATTTCTTTATACTTATGGTGTGCGTTTCATAGCTGGACCCATTGTAACCCAACTATGTACGTCCACTGTCCACGTGCGAGCTGCAGCAGAAACTATTTAAATGTGTGTAAAACAAACACGTGTTGAATATCTGAGCGAGTCTGACTATTGCAAGTTTTCCCCCTCCCGCGCCTCCCTTGTCAGAAATTGAACTCTCAGTTCGCACTTTCACTTTTTGATGGTAGTAGACGGGCCTCCCCTCCCATCTTCCAAATTAAACATTTCGAAATCAATCAACAAGATTTATTAGTCAGTCCCTCCCTAAGGGATTTGCTCTTGTCTCCCGGGACACATTTGTCATTAAATGGTGTGCTGAAAGCCTGGGCGACTGTGTGAGGGAGAGCAATTTCTTACTGGAAATGATGAATTTATGTGTGAATTTCTTGCCGAAAACAAAAACAAAAATTTAGAAGACTTAAAGCCTCCTAGATCCAAAAGTTGCATCTGAGTGGAAGCATCCTCTTTTAAAGAACTGCATTTTAAAGAAAATATTTGAGTGAAACAATGCAAACAGACAGACATGGTTCCCGTGTGTCCGTTTAAATCAGATGTGACATTTTATTTCTTTAATCTGTTACAATCTTTGAGTGTGTGTGTAGGGGAGGAGTGTGTAGGTAGGGGTAGGATCCCGTTGTCCACAGCACGAGTTTCAGAATCGAAGAAGGTTCTAGCTAGTACAAGAAACTTGAAAACAAAACTATAGTATTATATATATGACACAGGTATATTTCCAAGCCTCCACTCCCACTTGCGATGGGGTGGTGTGTAGGAGACCGTGGGAGGATGCTCCGAAAGTTGACCCGGCGGAGAGGAATCCAGCCTCTGCACCGCTGAGGGTTCCAATCCAGCCTCGGAAGGAAGGAGGGCGCTGTGGCATTGTATCCATTCAAAGGCTGGGAGGTGGGGGGAGCAGGACCTGGAGCCGCGCGGCGCTGACGCACGCGAGGCGCGTGATTGACGCAGGCGATGTTACTAAATTCGGCGGTTGGCCCGGCCCCGTCGCCGGCGCGCGCGGCAGATAGCGGAGTAGGTTCCCCCTCGGTCACCCCCGCCCCTTCTCCATTCAGCGCCGCGCGGGGCGGGGCGGGGCGGGGCGCGGCCGGGCGCGCCGGGCGGGGCGGGGCGGGGCGGGGCGGGGTGGGGCGCGGTGCGCGCCGCCGCGCTGGGATCCGGCCGCACCAAATATAGTCGGGCTTGGCTATTTTTAGCCTGGACTCCGGCGCGAGCGCGCCGCGTGAGGGGGCGCCCTGACCCCGCCCGGAGAGCGGAGGGGGCGGGGGCGGAGTAGCCATCTTGGACTTCGCTCGACCCCGTTCGGTGACCAGCGACGCTGTGGGAGAGAGGGCGGCGCGGGCTGTGACGGGAGAGGAGGGTGAGGCGCGGGCACGGGGTCCGCCATGAGGGGTGGTGCGGGCGAGGGAGGGGGGCGCGCGGCCCGCGGGGCGTGCGGTTGTGACGGACGGTGATTCCCGCCCGCTGGCAGGCCCGGCTGTCCTGCCACCCCGCGGCCTGGCCAGCCCGGAGTCGCGTGGGGGCGGAGCCGCCCGCGGCCACCACTTCCTGAGAGCCGGGGATACCCCTCCCGGACGTCACGGAGGAGCCGAGGCGGCGGTGGCGGCCCGGGGCTCATCCTGCACTTGCATCACGGGTGCAGCAGCAGCTGCTCTGCTCCTTTGTGGCTTTTTCCCCTGTTGAGTAACTGCTTTGTTAACTGAAAATACCATGACGGGCCAGTGTGATCACCAGCTTCAGACCTCAAAGAAAGTGAAGCTGTCAGGCAAGAAGAGGGAGACTCCCTTAGCCGGCTGCGATGGTATCTGGTGGGTGGGTGTGTAGAGAAGCACTTGACAATTTCCACGTATTACTTCTTGCCTAACTCTTCACCCCCAAGAAGGTTTAAAAATACTTTTATTTCCATGCAGTAAAAATTTCATGTGTTCTGCACCCCACCCATTCCCCCTTCAATTTGAAATCTCAAGCCGAATTGGAATCACACTAAAGCAGGAACTCTAAAATTAGGTACAGTTTTTAGGAAACAGGACATCTTTCAACGAATTTATTTAATAAGCTACACTCAGGGTAGTTACAAAACTACTAACCAAGTTTGTTCCTATAAATTGGGCTCCCTTAATTTTAAACCTGTATCTTAGTTTACCTTGAATTAAAAATACTTTTGTTCCTAGCTGAATATCTCCGGGTAAAGCATATCTCTCTTTGAGTCTGCGTATCTTTCTGAATATCTATGTTGGTTAATTTTGTGCTTCCCTGTGCCCCACCCCCTTCTTATATCTTTTCCTTCCTGAGTATAGTCACCAATCTTTGTTGCTTGATAACTGTTAAGCTAAGGACTGTTATCTGATTGCCCTGAACCAATCAGCTGGCATAGTGCTTCTCTGAGTAGGAAGCTGGACCCACTGTTGGAGAGAGGTTCCAGTGGTCACTGATCAGTGGCAACATTTTTGCAGTCAAATGGAAAGTCTAGGAAGCAGAGGCAAAGCTCTGTTACAAACTGGGACACCATCCTCTGCTTAATCCTAGGTCTCTAAACATACGCAGTTCTTTAGGTAACCTCAAATGGAATGAATCATTCTCTTCTCTTTTTCAAACTGATGTCTGTTCTATAACTTTTCAGAAGTCTGATTTACTACAAGTCAGGCATAATATTCTGTAAGGCATCTAGATGACTATTTCAGTAATCTCAATTACCTTTCGGATGACTTTTTTTTTACTAAATGAACGTTAATACTTTATTAATCTCTCTTTTTAGGAAATCAAGTAGAGTAAGACTACCTTAATGAAATGCTGAAAACTTAACTGGCTTGCCCTTTTTCTAGAAGACAGACATTAATGTGTGGCTTAGATTATATAAACAAAGCAAATAAAGTAGTTTCTGCTTTTGTAATACTTACAGCAGCTAATCTGTTAAAAACTCTTTCTATGAAGTAACTGTTACAGATTCACTGGGTAATTAACTTTCATTTTGTTTTGGTTTTGTAGGTATAATCTGTCTGCAAGAACGAAAGTGCTTTCTTTTAGAAAATAAAATATGAAAATTGGGGGAAATTTGTGTGTGATATAAAGCAATTACTTTAACAAAGTGGGACTTAAATAATTGCTTTAAATGCGCTTCTGATTAAGCAATGACATATATAATCTTGTTGACTTTGCTAATATGTAAATGACGATGAGTCTTATTAATGCAAAGATTGGGTGAAGAAAGGTAAAATAAAAATTTTAAGCCAGAAGTTAACTTAGGTGAATAGAGGTAGGAAAGGTTAAAAAAATTGTGTGTAAGTTCAAGTTTTCTAGAAACAGTGTAGAAGTTCTATACTGTATTTAAGTTATGTATATAAAATTTAGTAACTTGAGCTACATTGACTTATATACTTAAGTGTTTGGGGCTCAGGAACATGGCACTATTATAGTAGTTTTCTATCTGACCTACTTGCATACCATCTTTTCTTTATCAATTCTATTATTGCCAGATTAATCTTCCTAAAATATGGCTTTTGTTATGTCACTCTTGGGCTCAAAAGTCTTCAGTAGTTGGACCATGTCTCTACAATAAAACCCTAAAGCCTCTACATTGTGGCCTCTTAATTTCCATAGGATTTCTCTGTTCAGGTCAAACTGATATTTTCACTGCTCTTCAAACATCCTTTTACCCTCCCACATTTATTCATAGATTTCCTTTTTATGGCATTTCCTTCTTTCCTTTCTCTGCTTATTGAAATTTTACCCTTCCTCTAAAATTAGCTCAAGAAATGAGCTCAGGTTATGCTTTAGTTTTTCATAAAGTTCTTATGAAAACTTTTTTGTTTTTGTGCTCTTATGTTTATTGCTTATTCCCGTCAAACTATAAGCATCAGAAGCATGCCTCACACAGCTTTAAGATTTCTGTGGCAACTATGTTTAACATAATAAGTATTCATAAAATATTCCTCCATTTAAATTTGAATTAATAATATAAGTAACAAATTGTGTGAATAGATGTCTTGGCACAAATAGACGTATATGAGATCATATATTAGTTGTTTTCTTTACCTGAACTTTCAATACTCATGATTGAATGTACCTTGTCAAGGTGCCTGCCACAAGTCCAGAGAGCTGCATGGTGATACAAGGAAATTGCACTTTGGCTTGTACTTGTAATATCTGCGTAGGAAGATTTGCTATGATTTTTTTTCCTGGTAGACTTTTGGTTTGACTCTCATTCTACCCTCTTTCCCCTGTATTTGTACTTTCTCTTAGGCTGCTTCTTCTCAGTGATAAACTGGTGCTGTAGGCTAGGAAA